GCTCTTCCGCTGTGGAGTAAAAGAAGTACGTTTAGGAGCCCGAACGGGTGATGCCCTCGTATGTTAGATGCATTCCAGGCCTTCAGGGTCCCTGGGCAGAGAGTTCCTCCCCTCCTTTATCCACCACACAGGCCTTCCTTCCCTCCTGCCCGTCTGCCCGCCTCCCACCCGCTTGGGTATCTTTCCTCTGCCCCCTTGTGAGCTCTCTCACTGACCACACTCACCAATGCCTGCAGTCCCTTTCTCAGCGGCACTGGGGAGTGACTAGAACTGGGACCATGGTGGAGTGTTAGCAAATAAGGGATGGGTCAGGGAGACATTGGGGGGCCCAGCCAGAAGCCCTGGGCCCTCGTAGTGCCCTACCTTGGCATATGCTGACGCAGCCCTGATATATACTTATATTACTGTCCCATAACACCTTAGACACCAATGAGATTTTGAGGGTATAAGCTTCCAAGAGTCAAAGCAGGACTCTCGAAAGCTTATTCTCCCAAAATCCTGTTGGCTGAAGGATGCTGAAAGAACCAGCCCCTTACATTCAGTAACAGCAGGGAATCTATAACACTTATGGGAGGTGGGTGGTTGAACTCGAGACGCGTACCGAGTCTGGTACTGAACCTTTGCCTGGTGTTTTCCAAACGCCCAAAACCAAACCAGCCAAAGAAGTACTTTCAACCCAATTGGGTGATATGAAAAACCACACCGTTCACTTGAAATGAAAGGTTAGAAATATCCGAGCGGTGCACTGCTTGAGAAACGAGAAAGGTATCAGTCGATCTGATATATAATGTGCATAACAAACGCCCCTAGATCCATGGCAGTCCATCCACTGAGTGCACTTTTAAACGCAATGGTTCTTAAAATTCTGAATCATGTCAAATGGCTCCTCTTGGAGACTTGCTTTGGCAGAATATCCAATTCCAGGAATGCAGGCTCTGCACTGGATTGAGAAATAAACTATTATCTGCCACCTGGTTATTGAGTGGCAGATGTCAAGAACAGTGGGCTTGACTTTTTAGACTAGGAAGACTCCACAAAGGACCACCTCTCCCACTACGATCCCCCACAATGTCTGCGTTCTTCATCACACAATATTCTGGTGGTCCCCCGCCCTCGAGTGGCTCTCCTCTCCTCTCCCAGGGCGAGGGCCTTCTCTGTGGTGGCCCTATCCTGGGGGAAAGCTTTATCAGAGAATACATGTGCCCTGTGGGACCTTGCTAGCTTCCACAGGGCTTGCAAGACAGAGCTCTTCCAACAGGCTTTTGAAATAGTTGCTGCATATGTCCTGCGATTCCTGTATTGCTCCCACCGGATCATTTTATTGTTGAGTTGTTGGATGCAGCCATGTGCAATAGGAGAGTTGTACAGCTGGCTTTAAATTGTCTTATAGATTATAATTATTATTGCTTTTAAGACTGTTTATTGAAGTGCATTTTACTTTGATGGGAGCCATCCCATGCCTCGCTTTGTCAAGGGAGTGGTTGGGATATAAACTTGACAAACAAGCAAAGTGGCTGAGCAAAACTCAACCGCAAAATGTATGGAAGCTCAGGAACTTGTGTTTCTCAAGCGGTCACCGAGAACCCCCCCTTCGGGAGGAAAAAACAAAGAAGCGTCAAGAGCAGAAGTACCTGGTAGTATCGTCAGCCAAGCAGAGTGGTGCGTGTACCCAATAGAATTCCCAGCAAGACAAGTATATTCCCCAGCGTCATCAAAAGTGACATTGTGCAAGAACAGAATCTCTAGCTCCTTATCCGTTGTGTTAACACCTGCTGTCTACAGAGGAAAAATACAGAGAGAGAGAGAGAGAGAGAAAGAGAGAGAGAGAAGGAAGGAAAGACACCGGATAAGCCGAATTCCCAGAGAAGGTAACCCAAACAGACGCTTAGGCAAATTTCAGAAGCAGATCACGATGATTTACAGAGGCGTTGCCAGCTCTCCCTCATTCCCTACAGTAACGAGGGGCGTAAAAATAAAAAGGTATCCTTCACCAGGCTCTTACTCTGTCCCACGAATGAACGAGGCATGCAAGCGGAAGCATCACAGGGAAAAATCACCTCCACAATGTGACTGTCTCTTGGTTAGTATGGCAGGGGGTTGGGGACAAAGGAGAGAAGAGGGGGAGAAGGTGAGGGTTAAAGTGCAGTTTCAGGTCAGTGAGGAATTAACACAGGAAAAGAGGGCGCGAGAAAAAAACCTCTCCCCATCGACAAACTGCTAGGAGTTTTTGTAAGGCCTTTCTCTCCCTTCTGTGCAGTTTCTAGTCGTCTCTGTCACAGTGGCTAAAAGGTGCCTGAAAGGGGGAAAATCTAAGCACCCCAGGGGGGTCGGACAATTGCAAATGCACATAAAAGTTGTAGGTTTTTTTGAAAATATGAAAAAATGTGTCTGATTCCTAATATGTGCTCTACTATGGGCCAAACTGGAAGCGACAGCAGCTACGGGCCCCTTAAGAAGCTGCGAGGAGGGGGAAATAAGATTCCCCGGTTGCCACTGTGCCGCAGAGCTGATCAGGATCGGGCCCCCGTGGCAATTTTCTAAACGGCTAAAATCTCCTCTCAAATAGTGCTGGTGGGCATGGGTTGGCCCCGTAGCCGCTGTCCCAACTAGTTCAGCCCTAAGAGAGTTTGGTTTGAGGAACACCCATATGAGGAAAATCAACTTAGATCAGGGGTCCCCAACGTGGTGCCAAAGGGCACCTGCTGGCACCTTTCTTGGTGCCCATCAAGTGTCTTCAAAAAGTGGGCAGGGCGAGGTGGGGCTTTTGTCCAGTAGGGCTTCTGATTGCCCATTAGAGATTTGATCAGCTGTGCAGATTTTCAAAAATGGCGCTTTGGCAGCAGCTGCCCTCACAACACAAAGCTCTTCATTGGGGGACTGACGGATGGCTGCAGCAGCCATTTTGTGACAGGCTCTGCCTCCTGCGGCGGCCATTTTGTGGCAGCCCTTCTGAGGCTCACTACTTTGGTATTCCAAAGTCTCAAAAAGGTCGGGGACCCCTAACTCAGATTATTATGAAGGGTCAAGTCACCGGCATGCAACGTTGTTACGAGCCCTAAAGCGCAAGATGAAAGGTGAATGAGCCAACTGTAGCCGACAGTCAACAATGTGGGGATTTTTCCAAAGCATGTAAAATCTCAAGCGTTTCATTAAGACGAGCAAAGAAGCACGATCGAGACACACAACATCAGTCGACAAGAGGGCGAGAAACAAAAAAAGGAATAGCGATTTTAGTGGCTAGCGCCTTAAAAACATCCACAGCTCTTTCTTGCCTTTGCAAAGCCTTTGGGACAGAGTCTAGAATTTACCTGGGTCTGGTTTGCGAATGTGGAGCCAAAATGATTTTTCGGCTCTGCCTACGAAATTGTTGGCTCTACATAGATATTCGCCTTCATCTTGTTCTGTCACACTGGACAGATTTAGCTTAGCATCGGCTTCAGCGCTTTTACTGATCCAAGACTGCAGAATAGACAGAAACCTGAACTTCAGTAACACCAAACGACACGTCTCCATCACTCGTACGACAGACAGGACTGGTATTTGCTACTGTACCTTGCATTTGCTTTTTGAATACCAAAAAAACCCCCACACTTCCATAATCAAACCCAGAGAGACCAGCAGGTTACAAATGTGTTAATTCTACCAATTTTACAGAGAAGGTGTGTCCACCACTCATCCTCTTTGCCTTCTGCAGTTGCTTGTTTGAATATCCAAATGTGAATCCCTTTTACTGTTTATGATCCGATCCTGAGATTCATTTCACTTTCTGCATTTTTCAGAGTTCACTTCCGCAGACTAGCTTAGAATCATAGAGTTCGAACGGACCCCCAGGGTCACCCACTCCAACCTGCTTCACAATGCAAAACTACCTCCCCCCCCACACCCCCAGTCACCCCTGCTCCATGCCCAGAAGATGGCAAAAAAAAACCCCTCCAGGATCCCTGGCCACACTGGCCTGTAGAAAATTGCTTCCTGACCCCAAAGTGGTGTTCGGCATTTCCCTGGGCATGTAAGAAAAGGTCACAAGGACTAAGCACTGATGCAACCCTGCCTGCCCTCCCTTCGCTTGATCTGCCTGAGTTCACAGAATTGGCATTGCTAACTAACTGAGATTTTATTATCAAGTATGGGATGTGGAATGGTACGGCATAACCAGATCTCAGAAGCTAAGGAGGGTTGGTACTCGTTTGGGAGGCCACCAAGAAAGGTTCTGCAGAGGAAGGCCATGGTCAAACCCCCCCCCCGCTGCCTCTCACTTGCCTTGGAAGCTTGTAGGTGGGGTCACCATAGGGCTGCCAAGTCCCCCTGGGGGTGGGGATTCTCCCGCTAAAAGGGCCCCCAATCTGCCGGTCCGGCCAGCGAGGGGAACCCTATCCCCAAAGTGGCCAGAACGGCCCAACGTGCCCGGCGTGATGACGTCGCCCAGAAGTGATGTTATCACGCTGGGCACGTCGCCGGGTGACACGCTAGCAATCACCCTGAAAGCTCTATAGTACCATAGAGTTTTCAGGCCGGTTGCTAGAGCATCACCCGGCGACCCACTGGAAATATGTTCTACTGTCACTTCTGTATGGGCTAAAGTGCACTTGATTTGTGTACATTTCACAACACACCTATTTTTATCGTTATAGCCTTTACTACTTTTGCACTTTGTTTTGTTTGGTTGCAGTTTGGCCCGACACCAGTTCTTAGGACTAGTAAAGAACAAGAGATGTTTGGATTTTGACTCAATGGCAATTCCATTTACCAACCAGATATCAAAGCCTACAGAAATCTCCTAACACGGATATGGCATTTCACAAACATCAAATGAAATGCGGTGAACTCTTTCTGTTACTGGCATATTCGTACGAAAACACCAAAAGAGAAACAAGATTGGGCTGATATGGTTGCCCAAATGTTTCTTTTAATAACAACAGATTAAGATAACAGAAAAGGACTGGTAATGCTGGCATGATCGAGGTTTCATGTAACATAATATTTTTCTTCTGGGGGTGGGAAAAGACCTTTGTATCGCAAAAAAACCCCATAAAATCTAGCATTTGAGACATTTCAATGCAGGTCTTCCGTTAATTGAATTGACACTATTATCTTCCTACTATTCTCATATCATTGGATAAAATTATTTAAGATGACTTCGTAAGGCAAACAATATTTTCAGAACATTTACCCTATGACACTGTAAGAAATGTGCAGCTAAACTGTACTGTTGTATCATTCTAGATGTATTTATTTATTTCACATTGATTTAATTCATTTGTATCCCACCTTTCTCTCCAAGAAGGGCTCAAAGTGGCTTACACCCTTCTCCTCTCTTCCGTTTAACCCTTACAACAACTCTGCGAGGGAGGTGAGAGCGTGACCAGCCCAAGGCCACCCACCAAACTTCCACGGCACAAGTGAGGACTGGAACCCTGGTCCCACAGATTCTAGCTTGACACTCTTAACCCCTTGTATAGAAATATTGATTTCTAAAAGCCCCTGCCTTCTCCTGTGATATCTTTCTGATAACAGGCTGTGCCTTATTTCCTGTTACAAGCCAAATGGTGGGGCCCCATGGCCTCAACTGCATGCCATAAACCCACATTCTTCACACTTCCATGCTGGAAGCTAGACCTCACATGCCAGAAGTCACGTAGCTGATGGGGAAGGCTGGAGGTTGGGTCACCTGACTGCAGAGGGAGCTCCCAGACTCCCAGCCTATCCCCACTTGCACCCATGACAACCAAGAATTGGCCACTCCCCTGCCCACTCGCAATTGGCTCCTGGCCAGGGCTAATTTGTGACTGGAATGGGCCTATAACTGGTCATTCCCAATGGGAGAGAGTTTTGTTCTCTCTGCTGCTCTTGTGTTCTGTTCTTGGTCCTGCTCATGAGCTCTCTGCTCCCTGCTTATTGTTTTATTGCACCTGGACATGTGGTCTCTGGGAGAACAAAGACCTGCTTTGTGAACTGGATGCATGCTTGCGCATGATGGGATTACTACTAAAAATCCCTTGGTGCTCCTGGATTATCACAATGGACTGTTCTGGATTGATGAATGTTCCTGACATGGTAAATACGAAGCATTAATGTTCAGTTAAGGCAAACAGCCCTAGCCTTTCTTGTTTTGAAAGCTTTATAGTCTAATTGCAATGCTCTGTGTTGAATAAAAACTTATTCTTGTTTTTAAATGGTCTCTGATGTGTTAACTGAGTTCCAAGGCTAAACTCCTGTGCCTTCTTGCTCACCCTATAAGCTACCTTTATAAGAATTAAGCGTGCATCTCTAGGTAGAGGTGCTAATGTGTAAAACCCAGATGCCAGCTAAGAGTCTGAACCTTGCTCTTAGGCCGGAATGGGACTCTAGTTAAAAGAGGTTCTGGTGGCAAATTGTTCTGAAATCCAGAGAGGGTAGCCTACCTCTGTGGGTTGTTGTTTAATGTGATTGAAAAAATATAGGATTCCCTCTCATTTCTGGACAGGCTTGAGGGGCAGAATCCTATACACCCCTACATCACACTGGCAATTTTTTTAGATTGACAGGTTGATAGATGGATGGATGGATAGAGAGATGAATGGATGAGAAGTTTGAAAGAGGCTGCATCCAGTGTTTCCTCTGAGCTGAGCTAGTGTGAGCAAGCTCACAGTTTTTTAGCCTCCGGCTCACACATTTTTTTGTCTTAGCCCAGGAAGGATGGCTCCAGAACAAACTGATGTATACACTCACAACTTTCCTGCCAGTAGCTCACAGAGTGCAATTTCTGCTCACACGACGCCATAGCTTAAGAGGGAGCATTCCTATCGCCAACTATTTTGGCAAGGAGGAAGAAGAAAGGTTGTCCCGTTGTACAACTGAGAAATAACCTGAACACTGCTGGTATTCCTCCTGGCCTTCTTCCTCTGCTTTGGTGGTACAAAGTGACATCAAGTCATAGCCAACTTATGGTGACCCTGTAGAGTTTTCAAGCAAGTGATTACACAGAGGTGGTTTGCCATGGCCTGCCTCTGTTCAACAACCCTGGACTTCCTTGGTGGCTCTCCCAGACTGTAGTTTGACACTCTAACCACTATACCCTCTGGTGTAGAGACAGTTTGGTGTACCAGTTAAGAGCACGGACTCTGATCTGGGGAAACCAGGTTTGATTCCCCACTCCTCCACATGCAGCTGCTGGTGTGACCTTGGGTCAGTCATAAGTTCTTTCAGAGCTTTTCTCTCATGGGCAGTTTTCGGGAGAGCTCTCTCAGCCCCACCTACATCACAGGGTATCTGTTGTGGGGAGGGGAAGGGAAAGGAGATTGTAAGCCACCCTGAGACTCCTTCAGGTAGTGAAGGGGTGGGGTATAAATCCAATTTCTTCTTCTTCTGGCTCTCATGTTTAAAGTATAGATTCCAAACTGCACTTTGATAGCAGCATAAGAATCCTTTAAGGCAGGAATTAATACTCCGTTTCATTCAATATACTCTCTAGGACCTTGCAGGCTTTAGGCTGATGGATGCCAAGTCCTGAATTCACCATTCCCAAGTGGACATTTTTCCCCCCAAACAAGCAACAAAATACTCAGTTTCATATCTTTCATGATTAACCCACATATCAAATATCATAGAACAAAAAAAAACAACCCACTCCACTTCTTACAAAATTATAATAATATAATCTTTCGGAATGGAGAGTCGTATGGAACTCAGTGATGACACCAAATCGGGTTGTCTAACAGTGGGCCACTAGATTCCCTTTTGGTACAGTTATCACAGGTCAGTCAGGTAGGATGTTGGTAAAAGGTTTTGTGTCACCATCTACGGATACTGTTCATGTTTACAGCAGGCACGTTTAAATTCAGTAAGACAAATGTGGACAAACACGACAATCAGCGAACAAGTATAAAGAAATCGGTCGTGAGTGTCTGACCCACAAATCAAGCAGTCAACAAGACTTGCAAAGACAATGCTTGCTATGTATTACAGTTCGAAGCACAACACAATAAATCAATTCCTACAAATCATAAGACGCCCGGGATCCATTAGAAGCTTAGCAGCATACTTGAGCCTGAACATTTACTAAGATCAGCGTCCTATCTGAATGTATTATCTTTCATGACTTGTTGTAAAGCAAGAGAACAAGAGAACTTTTGTAATACTCTAACATTTCCTGAGGAAGATCCAATTTTGAAACGTTCTATAATCCGGAGACGATGTTGATGATGTAACCTTTGCACTTGGAGTTTCTTATGATTTGTAGGAATTGATTTATTGTGTTGTAATGCTTCATACTTTGGCCACCAAATGAGAAGGGAGCACTCACTGGAGAAGACCCTGATGCTGGGAAAGATTGAAGGTCAAAGAAGACGGGGACGGCAAAGGATGAGATGGTTAGACAGTGTCATAGATGCAACGAACATGAAATTGAGCAAACTTCAGAGGACGGCGGAAAACAGGAGGGCCTGGCGAGATCTTGTCCATGGGGTCGCGAAGAGTCGGACTCAACTGTGCGACTGAACAACAACAAAAAAGTGCTTCAGACGGTGATAACATAGCAAGCGTGGTCTTTGCAAGTCTTGTTGAATGCTTGATTCGTGGGTCAGACAGTCACGACTGTTTTCTTTATACTTTTAAATTCAGGACACTCTAGATATTCCTGGAACATCTCAAGAACGCAGCCCCCACCGCTAGGGCGCAGCCAGCGCAGAGGGAAGATTGCCATGTACCAACCTTTAGGACCGTGACATAAGGAGTCCCGTCTGGTCCATATTTGCTACCATTCACCTCCACGTGCTTCAGCCACTGGATGTGCGGCTGAGCATCGCTGTACACTTTGCAGTGGAATTCCACATCGCTTCCAACCACCACCGTCTGGTTGGCAGGCAGTCCGGCTTGGAGGATAGGGCGATGGGGTGATCTTTCTACATCGGGAGGGGAAAAGGAGGGGAAGGGGAGGTTTAAACTTTCTTGAGTATAAATTCATTTTATTAAACATACACAACAGACATACAGACAGGCACAAACAATACTAAACCCAAACATAATGTGGGGGTATCCCTTCATACTTTGAGTAAACGATTTGTTGACCATACATCTCAAATCGTAAAGCTTATTTCTATGCCGTATGATATTAACCAAACTTTGCACAGTATTTAATATAATCTTCTTATTAACTTCCATTTTAGTTATAACATATTTCAATCATTCAGTTCTTCAAACCGGTGATAAAGTCTTGGCCATGTTTCTTCAAATTTGTCCTCTCTATGTCCTTTCAAGGAGCTGCGATGGCTCAGTGGTTAAGACGCTGAACTGCAGGCTGGAAGGTCTGTAGTTCAGCAGTTCGAGACCTGAGTACCGCATGATGGAATGAGCTCCCGTCTCTGGGCCCAGCTCCTGCCAACCCAGCAGTTCGAAGGCAAGAAATTGCTTTCCAAAAGATCGAAAGTGAGGGGGCCAGGCACACTCCCCTGGGGAGGCTGTTCCATAAGTGTGGGGTTGTCACTGAAAACGCCCTCTCTCATTTGGTGCAGTGGTTAAGTGCGTGGACTCTAATCTGGGAGAACCGAGTTTGATTCCCCACTCCTCCACTTGCACCTGGCTGGATGACCTTGGGCAAGCCATAGTTCTGATAAGAGCTGTTCTTGAAAAAGAGTAGTTTCTGTCAGAGCTCTCTCAGCCCCACCGACCTCACAGGGTGTCTCTTGTGGGGAGGAGAAGGGAAAGGAGTTTGTAAACCGCTCTGAGACTCCTTTGGGTAGTGAAGGGCGGGGCATAAATCCAATCTCCATCTCCTCCTCCTCCTCCTCTTCTTCCTAATCTGACAGTCAATCAGATCTTCAGTGGCCAATCAGAGGCAAAAGCCTCACCTGGCCTCTCCCACTTTCTAAAAACACTTGACAGGCACCAGGAACAGTGTCAGCAGGCACCACAGTACCAACGGCCACCCTGTTGGAGACCCCTGTTATAAGTGAACCAGCTCCACCTAAAACACACCCTGATCCCCTCGCACTTACCAAGAACATCGAGTTGGTAAGTATGCTGAATGCGGCCATATTTATTCTGCACGACACAGGTGTAATTGCCTCGGTCAGATGGAACCACGCTCTCCATGACAAGGCTCCACTGCTGATGGCGCAGCTGTGAAGGGAAGAGACACCCCCAAAATCACCAAATCATGTAGGTTTGCAGCATGTAGGGACTATCTGGTCCCAAAACATTAAGAATACGGTAGTTAAAGCACACAGAACCTTTGAAATAACAATGAACTGGGTCAAATTTGAGCAATTCTCCACCTTAACCTTCTTTCAGAAATATGTATCTTCTTAATGGCAACTCTCCTTACAGTGCTACATACGTGTGGAAGAAGGTGGAAAGTTTGCAAACTGTTACCTCATGTGCTGGGTTAAATCCACTGTGGGGCACCCCAACACTCCAATGGCCTAGGTAACTAAGAAACCTATCCGTGACTTTGCCCTCCTCCTCTTTTCTCCATCTGTTGACAGTTCAGAACAGGGGTCTACAATCTTTCTGAGCCTGTTTGGCACCTTTCTGACACCGGATGTTGGGTGCAAGCACAAAATGGCTGCCGCAGAAGGCGGAGCCAATCACAAAATGTCAGGGACGGCGATTATGCATAATTCTAATCGTAACTCTACAAGCAGAAGTGCCACTTAACAGGGCTTCTTAAAGGAACGTGTTTATTTATTTTTATTTTGTTTGGTTTATATCCCGCCCTCCCCACAAGCGGGCCCAGGGTGGGTTATACAAGTTGACTCAGCAAATGGGGTGACGGTAATGTACAATAAATAGGATTAAAATAGTACAACGGAATCGAAACAATCTAAAAACGGTCTCGGTTAGGGCATCAGATGATTGAATGATGGCCCTGTAGACGATGCTACGGTGGAAAACCCATTTGGCGGGGTCTCTAGATGTTTAATCACTAAACACGTCTTGTTTTAAATAGTTTCTTGCAGACACACAGTTTACCTTCAGTCACACAGTGACTATCCTTGTACTGCCCTGGCAGCTGCGGATGAAGCAATGCTCTTAAAAGATTCTGCACAACGGGTCAAATCTCCAACGGCCAATCAGAAGTCCTGCTGGGCAAAAGACCCAGCTAGCCCCACCCATTTTTCTAAAAATCCTTGAGGAGCACCAGGAAAGGCATTGGTGGGCACCGTTTCAAACCCTCTTTGGCTGTTTCATATTTGGGCTTAAAGCAGTCCTCACGAACCCCACCCAACTACCCAAATGGCCTTTCCTGGGCTTCCGGGCCTGCCTCAATTAGTATGGTCCAAGCAAAGGGAACGCCGTGTACAAGAATCCAAAATCCAAACACTGGAACTATGAAGAATTTATATAATATACATTATGTTATTTTGTTTTTTTATGTAATCATCATCGTAATAAGCAAAAGCAGTCAAAATATATACAGTGTGAAAAATAAACTCACAAAATCTGGTGCACCACAAAATCCATACCTAAACAAGAGACAAATATAACTGGAAATAAACAGTGCAGGGATTCTCTCTTCCGTATGTCCTACTACTGCAAAAGGAATGATCCAAAGGTATTCTTCTCCCAGAAGTAGCTACTTGTGAGAGAAGCAGTCCACAATCCTCGGAATCTCCCCGGATGTACAAGCCGTTTCCAGCTTTCTTTCTCAAGAATCACTTATAATTTTCTGGAACCTATCTCCATCCTTATAACAAACACGTGCCCTTTCTAGAGATGTGAAAGCCCGGGAAAAAAACGGAAAAATTCGGGGGGAAAACTTTTTTTCCCCGTTTTTTTTCCTGAAGCCTTTTTGTTTTTTTCCGAAAAATTGGAAAAATTAAAAAAGAAAAGAAATTGATTATGGAACGTTTTATTTTAACATGATGAATAAAATATTTTAAGACAAGGTGTTCAAATATTTTTCAAATCATTTCTAATATATATATATATATATATGGTATCAGATTGATCTAATTTCTGTGCACTGAGGACAAGCAAGTCCTAGGTTACAAACTGAACTCTCCAATGCAAGAACAAGATGCATTTCTTCCTTTAGGAGGTGCTATTGTCACAAGGAAAGAAAAAGGTTTCAGTTTTGTTTTTCCATGTGGGTGGGTATTCTATTTGTAATAATTGTTTGGATACACTATATTTTTAATATGCTAGTTGTGATAATTTCATGCCAAGTAAAAATGTCCATAGTCATATTTTATGTTCCTAAAGTAACAGAATGACTTTCAATCTAGAAAAGACAAAAGAAATGCTACATTAGCATTTTTTCAATTTTTCCAAAAAATTCCGTTTTTCACCGGAAAAAAACGGGTTTTTTTCGAGCTTCAAAATTTCCGGAAATTTTACATCTCTAGCCCTTTCCCCGTGGGATTACGGTCTTGCCAATTAGTATGGTGTCTGGCCCACTCCCTGCCTCATGGTCGAGCATCCTCAGAGGTGAGGCAGTTGCCATGGGAACCAGATCTGCTGGTCCTTCAGCGCTGCAGTTCACTGCTCTGATCTTAGGGCTGTTTGCAGCTCTCGCCTCTCCCTCCCTAACGTGCCTGGCTGGATCTGTTCACTGAGATGTGCTCCCCTCCTGGCAGAATGGAGACCGAGGCCGCCATCACGAGTGAGTCACAGATGTACTAGAAGAACACTGGAAATATATTTGCAAAACAGGCCCAATAAGTGCCATCTAGGACAGCTAAAGAAAAGTTCTGTAAACTCCATCGGCGGTCTTACACATTGACTAGGAGATTTTTATACACAGAGAGAGGAGGGATACCTAGGGTTGCCGATAATATCTGGTTTTGATCAGGGTCACATGGGGGTGCAGATGGAATTTTCATCCAGGGGCCCACGGCGGCTCTTGGCAGCCCCGCTCATAATGTTAATACACAGAAAATCAGCACTGAAACAAATCTGGATAGGAACACAGGAAACAGCTACAATACTAGGGAAAGCATCCCAATCAAACCAGATCCAGCAGACCTGACTGACCACTAGGCTCATCTTTGGGTGCCTCCACCTTCTGAGATTAGATGGGTGGCATCTCAGGAGAGGGCCTTCTCAGTTGTGACACCAAAGTTCTGGAACTTTCTATTCAGGGACAGCAGTCTACCGCCTTCTGTTGCCATCTTCAACCAGTGGGTGAAGACTTGTTGCATTGGGCATTCCTTTAATGATCCCTCCTTCTTAGTAAAGGTACAGGTTTCCCTTGCTCGAAAGCCAGTCAAATCCGACTCTAGGGTTGCGGTGCTCATCTCCGTTGCAAAGTCGAAGAGCCAGCGCTGTCCGAAGACGTTTCTGTATATGTCCGAGGGGGTCCCTTCATTTTGTGTGTGTTTTTTTTTGTTAGCCAAAGAGCTGTCTTTCTAAATGACTGAGGCGTGGATTTCAGCAACTGCTTAAGTTGGGTCTGTCTCCCATGGGTTTCTGTGCTGCATGTGTGACCTGAAAGCACAGCCAATAGCCACCCAGAAAGCAAGTCTATACCACTATACCACTCTGAGAGCAATCCTAGGGTGATCTACTCAGAATGCTACTCAGTCTATTCAATGGGGCTTCATTCCAGGAAAGTGTTCTTCAGATTGCACCATGAGGGACGAACTATACATTCTGGCTTTTGATGAGCTGGGCCCGGAGTTCCTTGGGGAGAGCATGATTTCCCTGTTTTTGCTGCTCCGCATTTTTAATTGTTTTAATGATGTGTGTTTAGGGGTGTGTGTTGATTTTAACTGTTTTAAAATGTGAATTTTTAAAAATCATGTATCTGTCAAATTGTTAGCCACATCAGTGGCCTTGGTAAGGGCCGAAAGACAAGACACAATTTTTGCGAATAAACAGATACATAAACTGGTTTGTTTTGCAGATTCGGTCTGTATTTTGGTATATGTCGGGGGGGGGGGTCCCTTGATTTTGTTTTTATTTTTTATTTTTGTTAGCCAAAGAGCTGTCTTTCTAAATGACTGTTTGAGGCGTGGATTTCAGCAATTGCTTAAGGTGGGTCTGTCTCCCATGGGTTTCTGTGCTGCATGTGTGACCTGAAAGCACAGCCAACAGCCACCCAGAAAGCTAGTCTATACTGAGTCTTCTACTCAGAATGCTACTCAGTCTATTCAATGGGGCTTCCTCCCAGGAAAGTGTTCTTCGGATTGCACCGTGAGGGACGAACTACACATTCTGGCTATTGATGAGCTGGGCCCGGAGTTCCCTGCAACCACACAGTGGCTGGGGGGAAAGCCCCCCCCCCCCCTATTTTCCCACATGGAAACAGCACTGGGGAGAGCATGATTTCCCTGTTTCTGCTGCTCCACAAGAGGTATTCTGTGCATAAAAAGGTAAAGGTTTCCCTTGCTCGAAAGCCAGTCGAATCCAACTCTAGGGTTGCGGTGCTCATCTCAGTTTCAAAGCCGAAGAGCCAGCGCTGTCCGAAGACGTTTCCGTGGTCATGTGGCCGGCATGACTAAACACCAAGGTGCACGGAACACTGTTCCCTTCCCACCGAAGTGATACCTATTTATCTACTTGCAATTTCTTACTTTCGAACTGCTAAGTTGGCAGGACACAACAGGACAGAACAGAAAAAACTGGGAAATAACTCCCCCACCAGTTGATGGTTGCTAGGCAACTCCCAAGATGGCGTCTGTTGTCATAACTTGCCTCATGAGAGGTCCTTTTTTTTCTTTAGTTTTGGGGATTTGTAAATCCTTGTCACTTTGTTTTTCACTTTTCAAACTTCTCTGCAAACCTGGGGAGGCGCAATGTGGTCCACAGGAAACTCCCAGTTCTCTGTATGCGGCCTTGTTCTACCTATTTTTTTTTTTACCTGCACTTTGGGCCATGTTCAGAATTAGATATAATGATTCAGAAGTCATAAAATGTCACGGAGCGTGAAATATATATGGCTGTATCCACAACGGCGGCTTGATTTTCCTGTGCACATGACTGCCATAGCACAATGTCCACAGTGTACGAACCTTTGCAGCAAGCCATTAAAATAAAACATGTTTGTACCTCAGATGGCGTCCGGCCAGAAAAGGCTCCACTTGAGGAGACTACTCCTCTCTTCATGTCTCATGACCTGCAAGAGTGTCTGAATGAACTTCATTCTTCTAAAAATGACAAGCTGAGGCTGTGCCCAC